ATAAATAAAGAGCCAAGAGATTATTTTCATTTGAAGCTGCAGTAATCTAGACTTGCCAACTATTATAGCTGGAATATTGCTGAGTGCGGCGTAAACAACAAAGAAATAAAACTATTATAGACTTGCACGGGCTCTATTGGATACACATGGTCTGTATGACCGACTGACTTGTTAGTAAAATCTGCCGTCGTAATTTAAAATTAACAACGAGCGTACGTTATAATTACTTCTACAAACTACTTCTGTATTTATATTCCATTTTCTCCCATGAATGTTTAACCACGATGTCACGCACGAAAGGAGCTGCCCCAATGTTTGTGTTACTACCATACACCTGACACCCCGCCCCTGTACAACTGCAATCTCTAAAGAAATAAGTCAATTCCATTCTCCATGTTTAGGCTCTTATCGCGCCACTGCATTGAGTTAATAATGCTAGTTGATTAATTTAAATCGGAACAATAAATATATTCGATAACGTTTTGATTACATCAATGTCAATGTAAATATATTCAACATAAAATAGTCAGCTAATCAGCCTCAAACATTTTAGTTCTTGTAGAGCCAAAGCAACTTGATATAATTAACGATAACATATTACTCCCAAAATTCATTCTTGTTTCCTCCTTATTAAAGTAATAATTATATTAACGTTTTATGGGTGGTTTGATATCTCCTTTGACAATCACGGGAACGATTTCTGGCAGTCAACCGTTGTACAGCCGAATAAAGCTGTTCAACCCGGGTAGGCAGCCAATCAATAATACCCATTGTTAGATCGCGTGCTGGGCTTGCTTTAACAGATGTGTCCGGTCCGCGCATGCGCGCTGTCGCTGTGTCCACTCTAATTTAGGGCGGAAGATGAAGGGCGCTGTCCGGCTGCATTGTCCTCGCGCGTGCCAGATGTTAAGGGGTGGGGGAGGGGTAGGGAGGGGGTAGGGCATTGTTAGGTTAATGATTAACGCGATGGTGTGTCTGGTGGATCTGAACACACACTCACGCGAGGGGAAGCTTTTACGTAACATATGTAGGCCTACGTTGTCACACAATGCCACAACTCTCTCGCACCTGAAAACCTGGTCCAGGTATATACAAGTAAACTAATCAACGATAGAGGGAGACACATGCTGTAGACGAGGGGTGTCCTTTTGTGTGCTGGGATCTGCTGTAACACATGGTGAAGAAAATAACTTCTAATGTGTTAAATCCTGTTTAACAAATGCTTTATAACGATATCAAAAGCCGGTACTCAGCTTTTGAAAAGGATAGTTAAGAGTAAAAAAAATAAAATCGGAAGTTGTTGTGGTTGATGGCGACGCCAGTGTCACTGATGCAGATATGTACCAGATAAACTACGCGCCATTTTGAGTGGGGAGTTATGGGAATATTTTATTAGATCTAAACCTGTTTCGATTTTGCTTTGGAAAAAAAAAGTGGATGGCACCGGCACCGGCACTAAGACACCCAAGATACCTTAACCATGTAATTCCACAATCCTTAATACCCAAGTTCTTCACACCCTTATATGTCGTGACAACGTCTTCCTGACACCCATAGAAAAACAGCCCAAACAGGCATGGCTCCAACATACAGTCCAAACAGGCATAGCTCCAACACACATTCCAGACAAATTCTGGATTTCAAGATTTCGTTTCACATTGTCTGAAATAATGACTAACACTGGACGACGACGTTCTGTACCGAAGCCAATCAGATTGTGTCCTTTCTGTCAAACTTACATGGAAAATGAATTTCATATACTGCTTGTTTGTATTGTTTATACCGATATAAGGGAAGCACATATCCAACATAGATACCCGCGTTTACCACATTTGTATTCAAGTAAATCGCTGTTGATTTCTATTGATTGAAAAACAATTATTAGGTTAGCACTATTTGTTTTCTCGGCGCAAGAATCTTATAGTATCGGGACGTCACTTCGTAAACTAATTGTGTACACTAGTTTGTACCATTATCTGCACAGATGCACTGTCTGCAAAGATGCATTATCTGCACAGATGCACTGTCTGCAGCACATCTCAATAGCAGTGTTGTACTCACTGATATCATCTCTTTGCACGTTTGTTTTGTATATGGGCCAGATGCCTTAAGTACAATAACACATCTTAATCTTGATAATCATGTACCATGACATCCATGTACCATGACAACCATGTACACTGACAATCGTGTACCCTGACAATCATGTGCACTGACAATCATGTACCCTGACAACCATGTACCCTGACAATCGTGTACCATGACAACCATGTACCATGACAACCATGTACACTGACAATCATGTACCATGACAACCATGTATACTGACAATCATGTACCATGACAATCATGTACCATGACAATCATGTACCATGACAACCATGTACACTGACAATCATGTACCCTGACAATCATGTACCCTGACAACCATGTACCCTGACAATCGTGTACCATGACAACCATGTACACTAACAATCATGTACCCTGACAATCATGTACCCTGACAACCATGTACACTGACAATCATGTACCCTGACAAACATGTACCTTGACAACCATGTACACTGAGAACCATGTACCCTGACAATCATGTACCCTGACAACCATGTACCCTGGCAACTGGCAATCATGTACCCTGACAATCGAGCACCATGACAACCATGTACACTGACAACCATGTACACTGACAATCATGTACCCTGACAACTATGTACACTGACAACCATGTACCCTGACAATCATGTACCCTGACAATCGTGTACCCTGACAATCATGTACCCTGACAACCATGTACCCTGGCAACTGGCAACCATGTACCCTGACAACCATGTTCTTTCTACCCTGACAACCATGTTCCATGTACCCTGATAACCATGTACCCTGACAACCGTGTACCCTGACAACCATGTACCCTGACAACCGTGTACCCTGACAACCATGTACCCAGACATCAATACTGACACCAACTGCCTCGATGCATTTCCCAAACGATTAATCCCCCTTTCCTACCCCCAGAGACCCGTGCAAACTGAAAACACTCTCCCTGGCTTCACACTCCTCAAACGATGACATGTATCAACCAAGTCAGCGAGCCTGACCACCCCATTCCGTTAGTCGCCTCTTACGACAAGCATGGGTTGCTGAAGTCCTATTCTGCTCCGGGTCAAACCGCCTCCGTGGTCTAGAGGTAGAGCGTCCGCCCGGAGAGCGGAAGGTCCGGGGTTCCATCCCCGGCCGCGTCATACCAAAAGACGTCAAAAGATGGTACTTGTTGTTACCCTGTCTGGCGCTCGGTATTAAGGGGATAAAACAAGGACTGGTCGGCTCGGAGTCAGTATACTGTGTCTGAGTGAGGTATTCATGTTAAACTGCGGCATTGTACCTCAGTGTGCTAGCACTATAAATCGGCATCAGTCCGGACTAGTACAAGCAGCCACACACACACGTGCATGCCGGTCGCTATATTAGTGCAAAAATCTTGGACGCGACGTTAAACCCTCACCTCACCTCACTACTCCGGGTCATCACGGGTCGTCTCCATCACCAGTATCTACCCATTGTTTCCCGACGTTGACTGGTCAACATACAACATCGCCGACATCTTGGTCTCCGGTATCCTTTATTGAAGCAGCTGTAAATTACAGAATTAACATGTCCCTGAAACACATGAGGCAGCTGCTGGAAAAAAGTTTTTCTGCCATGAAATTAAGAAGTGGACATTATATTTAAAACGACTTCACGCGTTATAGTTGTGTTAACCTAAACATATATATCCTAAGATAAATATTCGCGCTGACCGTATACAAAACTATACACCAGAAATCATATCACATCACATCACATCACATCACATCACATCACATCAGACCATACCATATCATATCATATCATATCATATTCCGCAGATATCCAGGTACTAGTATCTGCTCAAATGTGATTTTATTTGTCCCTATACTGTACAAACATTGCCTAAACCATAGCAAAATACCCTCAATCATTATTTTAATGAATTCTAATTTTGAAATATTAACCAACAATCTCACCACCGATTGATGAATGTGAATTCATCCATGATATTTGCCCCATTTAACAAATATATTCCAAACCTCCATTACTAACGAACATGTTATTCACACGGTATTCACGCTGCCACACATCATGCATTAGCACATCATGCACTAACACCACGTGGGATGTGACAACATCCATCCTACAGTGCTCACGTCAATGTTCATTAGTGTGCCTGGCAGGGCTGATCATCGAGCAGTCATTCCACACAGTCCATTCAATACGTCAAATGTGGACAGGTGTGTGAACAGATCCCTCGTTATAACGCAGACCACAGCCCAGCCAGTGGACATTTGACTCAACCATTCGGGTGTGGTGACCGAGGACATTTAACGCGGCAACGCCCTTAATGTATAAAAAACAAAGATACGTTGCTATAGTAACGATTTTCGTCCTGTCTCGACTCTCTCATTTCGACTCTCTCTTGTATTTGGTGACAACACGTTCGACATATTACCTGGTCCTATTTCACGGTGATTGGGTAAAGTGAGCTTCAATTGTTAAGTTCCTGTGAAATGTGTAGTATTACATTGCCGTAGAGGGAAATGATTAATCCATATACACGAGAATGCAATATGTAAAAATACGTTCTCCACTTATATGACTCACACGATTAACGCATGTTTCTGTATATGGTTGAACTGAAACGGATGCAAGCGTTTCAAAAGAATTCTTAATATAGCATAAATTGACGTTATTTTTATTGCGTTTTTTTCCAAAATATGTAAAATATAAACGGAAAGGTTTGTTTCAAATGAGTGAGTGAGTGAGTATGGTTTTACGCCGCTTTTGGCAATATTCCAGCAATATCACGGCTTTCACGACGCTTTATCCACTAGGCTATCCGACCGCCCCTTGTTTCAAATGAAGACAACAGGAACGCCCCTGAAAATTCAATGTCCAGTCAAGTTCCATGAAAATGTGACTGGCAGGCGTTAAGCTGGAGGCTGATGAAGAAGAAGAAGAAGAAGAGGAAGAAGAAGAGGCAGAAAAGGAAGAAGAAGAAAATGAAGAGGAGGCAGAAGAAGAAGAAGAAGAAGAAGAGGGGGAGAGGCAGGAGAAGAAGAGGGGAAAAGGGAGAGGCAAGAGAAGAGGAAGAAGAAGAGGAGGAAGAAGAAGAGGAAAAAGAAGAAGAAGAAGAAGAAGAAGAAGAAGAGGCAGAAGAAGAGGCAGGAGAAGAAGAGGCTAAAGAAGAGGCGGAAGAAGAAAAAGAGGCAGAAGAAGAGGCAGAAGAAGAGTCAGAAGAAGAAGAGGCAGGAGAAGAAGAGGCAGAAGAAGAGGCAGGAGAAGAAGAGGCTGAAGAAGAGGCAGAAGAAGAAAAAGAGGCAGAAGAAGAAGAGGCAGAAGAAGAGGCAGAAAAAGAAGAGGCAGAAGAAGAAGAAGAGGCAGAAGAAGAAGAAGAGGCAGGAGAAGAAGAGGCAGAAGAAGAGGCAGAAGAAGAAGAGGCAGAAGAAGAGGAGGCAGGAGAAGAGGCAGAAGAAGATGAGACAGAAGAAGAAGAAGAAGAGGCAGGAGAAGAGGCAGAAGAGGAAAAAGAAGAAAAAGAGGCAGAAGAAGAAGAGGCTGAAGAAGAGGCAGAAGAAGAGGCAGAAGAAAAAGCGGCAGAAGAAGAAGAGGCAGGAGAAGAAGAGGCTGAAGACGAAGAGGCAGAAGAAGAAGAGGAAGAAGAAGAGGCAGAAGAAGAAGAAGAGGCAGCAGAAGAAGAGGAGGAGGAAGAAGAAATGAAACATAATTGATTAAGAAATGTCCAGCGTTGTGTATACATGTAAAACAGACAGCATATCACATTACAATATAAAAGTACACATAGCCCGACTGGGGCCTTCTTGACACAATTAACCTTAAATCACCATCATAACTTACAGCAGTATAATGCGCAGCTGCAGTGATGGGTCGCATACATATGCCCCATCCCCACCACACCCAGCCCACCCTCCACTCCTACTTTCTTGTATGTTACGCAGTGCCACAGAAGCAAGACATCTACACAGGACTGACTTGAACGTACACACACCTCTGTCTGAACACTTGCAAATATCTGCCTGTCATGCGAACGAATTTCTCACGTGAATATGATTACTTCCGGGTCAAATCTTCGCCTAGTTCAATTTGGGAAGATGTGTGAAAGTTTATTATCAGACATAAACAGGTTTGTTCTATCTGTAAAGTGGCCATGCGAACTCTAATAGTAACAATATTTTGCGAACGCTTCATATATAATTTTGAAAACAAGCAGCTAGATTTAAATCGAAAAGGAGCCCCAGTGCATGAGATGGGAGATTATGAACCTGTGGAAAATCTAGACTTGCTTCATTCAGACTATAGCATCACAGTAAGGGCTGGGCGGAAGGGGAAATAATATGGTTCATGGACTGTGAGAAAGACTAGTGTTTGACCTTCATGCACAATTGCAACACAGCTATTTTGATTCCCAAACATGCTTGCTTATGTCGGTGATAACACCTTTAGTAAGTAGTACGGGGTTTCATTGTATCGTTTAATTCCGTGCGTGAAAGAACTCTGGGTATATTATTTACATAGAAGCAACTTTTCTGAATTTCTGACTTTTAGTGTACTTATAAATTGACTTATGTTTAGTGTACGGCGAAGATATATCTTGTAATGGTGCTGTTGTTCATTCTGGAACTAGATGTGCACCGTGTATAAGCCTTGTGTATTTGTTTAGTCCCATGAATATCGTCTAACTATACATTGTAATAGTGCTAATGCTTTTCAGTTATACTGTACATTATGGATGTGTATAGGATAATGAATGCATGTATATTATATGGTACTATAATACCTTGTATGCGTGATTTGAGTCATGAATACACACAGTGTGTTCTCTTTGTCACGGCCGCATTTGAACACTGTATTGATACACTGTCAGCGAGGTTATGAAATCACTTTACCTGTGTTTCTTATATGTGCCTGTGTCCTCAAATATGGTACACTCGGTTTTCAGGTCATACTGTAAAACCAGGATGAACATGTGTTACATGTCGCTTACCCTATAGGGCTATGGAAGACGCTCAGACATCGATAGTCTGCCGGCAGTTCATGGAATTGAGCTTGTTTCTTAATTCTCCGTGATTATTGACCCGAGTCTAAACTGTCAAATATAATTATGTCATAATGGGCGAGCTCCGTGAATTACTCAAGGCAGTGAATTCCTTCAATAATTGCATAACAGCAACAGCATGAATCAATTATACATTTGATTTATTCAGTAATATTGTTTATGAAAGGAACGTCAGGCTCTTTTATTTCGCACGCGTCGCTTTTAAAAAGGAAAATGAAAGTAGAGACGAATAAAATATTCAGCCTGGAATATGCTTGGTAGTAAAGGGAACGGGGGAAGGATGGAGGAAGGGAAATGAAATCGATGCGTTCCCCGCGGGGAGGGGCATGTGCGGGAGTGGGGATGGGGGACAAAGCCTGCTTGCTAGTCGAGATGCAGGCAATCGATTTACGCGTTCCGTTTCAAGCAGACAGCGTCGACGATGTATCGCAACATACACAGTGTTTCGCGAAAGTCTAACGCTGAAATAGTTTACATCGTCAAAGAACGCTATGCTGAAAATGTTGTACTTGTATTTCAGACGTTAGTTTAAAACTCGACTCATGTTTTGACAGTTCCGCGTGTGTGGAAGAACCCTCACCCCGAGGTACACGTGGGGTGGGGGGAGGGGATCGGCGTCTGACCTGGCGTTGTCGCTGGGGCCCATTATGATGCACGCGCTGTATGCCGGCAGCAGGGTAGGCAGAGTGTGTCGGGCTTTGAACAAAGCGAGGCAGGGTTAGATCAGCGCTCGGACACGGTTCACCTGGTTCTTTGTGTCCAGCGCTCTTCTCGCTTTCAACCAATCACAGCGCACTGAATAATTGATACACGGCGCTGATTGGATGAAATCCGTAGTGGGCTTGCGATGTGAGTTGCGAATCTACTGTGTTCTGCGAGGGAACAACATAGAGATTTTCCAAGCGTATTGATAATAGAAGCCCGTGTGGGATCGAGCCAGTTGAGAGACGACCATTGTCAGCTTCAGTCTGAGAGCTTGTGTGTGAGACCCGACTTAAGGGAGCGGCTGAGCCAGTGTTTCACTCAGTCCTTTCTGTAGGGGTTAGCAGCTTGCAACCGAAATCTTTCTGTATTTTGACAGTTCCCGACGTATTTTCACAAAATCAATATGTCAGATACAGACATGGAACTGTTGACTCCAAGTCCCTTCAACCGCTACTGCGAGTACGGTTTCCGTGAAGACAGCATGGACAGCCTGCCCTCGACGTCCGACACCAGCAGCAACGCTTTGTCCTGCTATCGTTGCGGGGGCGACATCATGGATCATATCTACCTCCGAGTGCGCGGGCATGCGTGGCACGTGCAGTGTCTCCAGTGCTGCGTTTGTTTGACGTCACTAGCAGAGCAGACGTCGTGTTTCATCGACAACGACGACGTCTACTGCCGTGATGACTACGTCAGAGAGTGCGCGTCGTCGTGTGAGAAGTGCCATGAACCTGTGATGCCGGACGATTGGGTCCGTCGATCGCATGGATGTGTTTACCACATGGAATGTCTGTCGTGTGATCTGTGTCAGCATCAGTTCGCTACAGGAGAGGAGTTCTTAATTCACGGAAGTAAACTGAAGTGCAAGACACACATCAGAGAGCTATTTAACGGCAACGTGGGTGGTATAAAGGTGGTTTCGTCTCCTTTCAACGGGACGTCGTCTCCAGGAGATATAGACGGTGACAAGTCAAAACGTCCAAGGACCGTGTTCACGGAGGAACAGACCGGACTATTAACAAAACTATTCCAGGAAAACAACAGCCCTAGCACAAAGGAGTTGGAAAATATCGCCATCCTGGCTGGGCTAAGTAAGAAGGTAACTCAAGTGTGGTTCCAGAACGCGCGCGCGAAGAAAAAGAAAACGATGTACAAACACAGTCTGAAACTGGCCGAGCTCTGACGGGAGGAACGTAAGCCTCCCCCACCCCTCCGTCTCCCCCTCCCCCTCCCCCTCCCCCACTGCCTGGCTAGAGTTGAGGTTGTCCAGGCTTCCCTCCCGATGTGCAGTACAAGCCAGCTGTATTCCGACATCTTAACCCCAAGTGAAGTGCATTTTGCGCTCCACGAACTAGCAATGGTGAACTGCGCGTTGAGAACTTAGCAGGTCACGGTGACCCGTCAGTGTCGAATGGTGCTCTCTACGTGAATAACCGAGATGTTACGAGACTTGTTATACCATTTACTAATCAAAACCTACGAAGTCAGCATTTAGTGATATGAATTATTTTATATGTATATACAGCAGTATTTTAATAATATACGACATTCGTGAAAAGCCTAATCTTGTCATTTGTATGTCAAATGTTTAGTTTGCATCATGCCGTTGTGTTCGGCGACAGTCGACGTTTGTGAAAATGTGTAACATTCCATGTTTTTTTAACACTTCCTCAGTTCCAGTAGCGATCTCCCTCGTTTCAAATGGGTATACGTTTCTGTTCATGTGATACTTTTAATTTATATAATTTATATTTACACTGTGGAAATGTTTATTAAAACGAGCTATTTTCAAAATTATTTTTTTGTTTTTCATTTTACCGTATGTATGATGATGAAGGGCTATTTAACGTCATTACTTCTTATATTAAGTTTGTAGCACTGTTTTCAAGTCATGTGTGTCGTGAGCCATCAATGCAGAAATTGTGACGGAGCTATGTGTTAAAACGGCAGACGTAATCGCCTTTCTCCCATGAGTAAATGCTGTTTTACGGCGTCGACAACACCATTCCAGCGACATCACAGGGGCGATTTAAGCTGGATGTCACGGAAAAAACGCCGTCGGGGTAGGGTGACCTTCATAAAAACACAAAATGTGGATCGGGTGGCAACAATGAGAGGTGAGTAGGGACATCTCTGTGAGGACTGACGCTCAGTTTCACAAAGACGCCCCAGTGCGAAAACTGCCGCCCGTAGGAAATTACAGTCGGAGCGCTACGGTTGCTTTGTGTCCTGAGGCTCTGGCCTTCACATGTGGTCGGGGGCACGGGTGGCCCAGTCGTCTAAGTCGCCGCGATTCGCTGTGCAGAGTTGCGTCCCTTTGGCACGCAAGAAACCTATGATTGTGGGTTCGAATCCCGGTTCGCCCCGATTATGTTTCTAGGTTTGTCAGCACCATACCCGTGCTCGTGGGTTTCACCGAAGTGGTAAACGTCTGAGACCTGCATCACTTCGGGCTTTCCTCCCACATTAAGCTGACACGCCGTGATATAACTGGAATACTGTTAAAAACGGCGTAAAACCAAACTCACTCACTCATTCACATGAGGTCACTAAACATCTGTTCACGTTCATTGTCGGCATTGTGGCCATCCGATACCCAAATCAGACGCTAAATGCAAGAATGATTTTTGGATCCGTGGTGCCGACGGCAGGTCTTTAAATAGAAACATTTCGGACTGGGGCTTACCACGATGAAAGGGAGATGGCAACAAACTAAATAATCTTTCACATACATGCCGACATATTTTGTTGTTTTATAATAAATATATTTAAAAAAACGCTTAATCACTAGATCTATGTCACAGGTCATTCCCCGTGAAGATCCGGGTTACAATTGTCTTAAGCAACCATGCTTGTCGTACGAGTGAGTGAGTGAGCATGGTTTTACGTCTCTTTTAGCAACATTCCAGGAATATCACGGCGACCAATGTGGGGAATCGAACCCGGGTCTTCGGCCTGACAAAACACCGCTTAAAACCAAAATCCTACACCACCGCTACGCTTGTCGCAAGAGGCGACTAACGGGATTGGATGGTGAGACTTGTTTACTTGGTTCATGCATTTCATCGTATCCCAATTGCGTAGATCTTGCTCATGGCGTCAGTCACTTGACTGTGTGATCCAAACTGATTTTTAGAGACCGCCGTCCTATAGGTGGACTATTACTGATGGTGTTAAAGAACAAACATCAAACAAATTAGAGGTTACTTGATCTTTCTCAGAGGGACCAGACACAACCGACTCAGACAAAAATATTTCATCTACCAGACAAGAACTGCGAGGTCAGTTAAGTGTGTTCCGAATGTAAGCCTACGAGACATCTCTATCGACGCCTCTATCAGCTCTTTGAGACGATCGCGATTTGATCAACTGGACGTGCACAGACAATACTCACACTAATATGTTAGACTAACCGTAAAGACAGCGAGTGTTTGTCAATTCAGGTGGTATCGGGAAGACCAGTCCGAGATGTCCATAAACACTCTGGGAGGGTATGTTCCGAATGTGTGTTTCTGAAAATGTCGAGTGTATGAGTATGGTTTTACGCCGCCTTTAGTAATAATCCAGCAATATCACGGCGGAGTCACCATAAATTGGCTTCACACATTGTACCCATGTAGGGAAACGAACCTGGGTCTTCGATGTGACGAGCGAACGCTTTAACCACTAGGCTACCAGACCCTGAACACGTTGATGTGACGTTAAATATTAACTCACTCACTGAAAACGTCGAATGGTATGTTCTACAAATGACAGTTTTTGGACTAACATTGACGTAACATACTGGATGATGAGTGAAAGTGACGACAATGACAACATAAAGTTGTAACGACAGCATGGCGGTAACTACCCCAAGGACATAAATGGTGACCGATGATACAGAAAGTTTTGTTTGTTTGATATCTTTGTTTATTTAACGCCGCACTCAGCAATATTCCAGCTATATGACGGTGGTCTGTTAAAAATCTAGTCTGGACCAGACAATCCCGTGACTGGTATCATGAGTATCGATCCACACAATTGGAATACGATATGCATCAACAAAGTCAGCAAGCCTTTCAACCCGATCCCGTTAGTCGCCTCTTACTGAAAGTAATGACGATGACTCCATGCAGGGGTGACGATAATCTTGCTTATTCACGAAGGTCACTGTAGTGACGAGATCGACACAGTGACGATAACTTTCCTTATTCCCGAAGGGCGCTAGGGTGACGACATCGACGCAGTGACGATAATCCTACTGCTACCCGAATGGTGCTGTAGTGACGACATCGACACAGTAACAATTATTTTACTCCTACCAGAATGGCGCTGTAGTGACGACATCGACACAGTGACGATAATCTTACTTGAACACGAATGGCACTGTAGTGACGAAACCGACACAGTGACGAAAATCCTACTTCTACATGAATGGCGCTGTGGTCACGAAACCGACACCGTGACGACAATCTTACTTCCACACGAATGGCAAAGTAGTGACGACATCGACTCAGTGACGATAATCTTACCTCTACCCGAAGGGCGCTACAGTGACGACATCGACTCAGTGACGATAGTCTTACTTCTACCCAAAGGGCGCTCTAGTGACGACATCGACACAGTGACGATACCCTTTCTACTACCTGAATGGCGCTGTGGTGACGACATCGACACAGTGACGATAGTCTTACTTCTACCTGAATGGCGCTGTAGTGACGACACCGACACAGTGACGATAATCTTGCTTGAACACGAACGGCACTGTAGTGACGAAACCGACACAGTGACGATGATCTTACTTCTACATGAATGGCGCTGTAGTGACGAAACCGACGCGGTGACTACAATCTTACTTCTACACAAATGGCACTGTAGTGACGACATCGACACAGTGACGATAATCTTACTTCTACCCAAAGGGCGCTAAAGTGACGACACCGACACAGTGACGATAGTCATACTTCTGTCCGAAGGGCACTTTAGTGACGACATCGACACAGTGACAATAATCTTACTTGAACACGAATGGCACTGTAGTGACGACATCGACACAATGACGATAATCTTACTTCTACTCGACGGGCGCTGTAGTGACGAAACCGACGCGGTGACTACAATCTCACTTCTCCACGAATGGCACTGTAGTGACGACATCGACACAGTGACGATAATCTTACTTCTACCCAAAGGGCGCTATAGTGACGACATCGACACAGTGACAATAATCTTACTTGAACACGAATGGCACTGTAGTGACGACATCGACACAATGACGATAATCTTACTTCTACTCGACGGGCGCTGTAGTGACGAAACCGACGCGGTGACTACAATCTCACTTCTACACGAATGGCACTGTAGTGACGACATCGACACAGTGACGATAATCTTACTTCTACTCGAAGGGCGCTGGAGTGACGAAACCGACGCGGTGACTACAATCTTACTTCTACACGATCGTCACGATATGGCTGAAATATTGCCGATGTGACGTAAAGCATTAACTCACTCACTCACTCACTTCTACACGAATGGCACTGTAGTGACGACATCGACACAGTGACGATAATCTTACTTCTACCCAAAGGGCGCTATAGTGACGACATCGACACAGTGACAATAATCTTACTTGAACACGAATGGCACTGTAGTGACGACATCGACACAATGACGATAATCTTACTTCTACTCGACGGGCGCTGTAGTGACGAAACCGACGCGGTGACTACAATCTCACTTCTACACGAATGGCACTGTAGTGACGACATCGACACAGTGACGATTATCTTACTTCTACTCGAAGGGCGCTGGAGTGACGAAACCGACGCGGCGACTACAATCTTACTTCTACACGATCGTCACGATATGGCTGAAATATTGCCGATGTGACGTAAAGCATCAACTCACTCACTCACTCACTTCTACACGAATGGCACTGTAGTGACGACATCGACACAGTGACGATAATCTTACTCCTACCCGAAGGGCGCTACAGTGACGACATGGACACTGTGACGATAATCTTACATATATCCGAAGGGCGCTATAGTGACGACACCGACACAGTGACGAAAATCCTACTTCTACCTGAATGGCACTGTGGTGACAACATTGACACAGTGACGATAGTCTTACTTCTATCGAATGGCACTGTGGTGACAACATTGACACAGTGACGATAGTCTTACTTCTATCGAATGGCACTGTGGTGACAACATTGACAGTGACGATAGTCTTACTTCTACCCGAATGGCGCTGTAGTGACGATACCGACTCAGTGATGATGACCTGAGACGTCATATGCTGACAATTGGGCGATGATATAGACGACATTCCGCAACGTCATAAAGAAACTACGACGTTATACAACTACAAAGAAAGACGATTACGATAAAGACACGACCTGATGGAGTAACGTGTAGGACTACCAAGAATTTACGAAATGACGACAACACCATGAATATACCCCGACTAGCCTACCTTGACTACGGCGACGGCAACCATCACAGCATACATTAGTATCAACCACAACAAATGCCACAAGTATATTTAGACCACCTCTACAGAGACGACGACGACGGCCTCGACTACATCATCGCCAGCTATCATGATCGACACTTAAAGAAGTGACAACCCAACAACGACATACAGCTTCAACAACCACGACATGAGGTGCATCAGTTCGACTGATAACCCGTTTGGAGGATGTGCTCATGAACGTTCATGTCACCTATTCAGAAACTATTTTTCGATACCAGGGGCATCTGACACGCTGTGAAGATACAGCTTTGACTCTCATAGTAAGTATTGAG